TAACATACGATTAAATTAATACTCGATTTAATAATGATGCTACTAGCATCTCAAAATATTGTAAATAAAGGATTTATTGCGAGAAATATAATTTCAGCCAAGATCTCAATTTTTATTTTAGCAAAAGATCAATGACAGGCAAATCACTCGATTAATAAGATGTCAACGTTTCGAGACATCTTGAATATTCTGTGTACGATATTCTCTTTCCCATTCCCTCTCGTCGTCGCGCATTCCAGACGAGTGTCATGACGCACTTGTTGCGATTTCACGCGAATATCGCAAGGCGGATGTAACGAAGATTTGATAACGCTCAGTGCGACGTTACAGCATGTCAAGGGAGATTAAGATAGCTAACGCAATTACGATGCAACACGGACGAATCAGATAGAAAAAGGAAAGATATATTTGTTTCGGATACAGATAAAACAGCGATTATCTTAAATCATTCTCACATCTTTTTTATATATTATTATAAATATTATTATAAATATTATCTCAATATTAATCTCCCAAGTAATTAATACGATCTCTCCATTTACGTTAAGCGGATGTTAAGTAACGATTCGAGATTGATCTCTCATGGTGAAACATTTCAGCAATATTAACTTGAAAATGCGTAACGCATCGTAATTATACACGGGGAAGAGATATACGCGATTTAAATCCGCGTCTCTCGGCATGCAGGAGTCAAAGTAATAGGACCTCCAACGATCCGCGAAGCTACGGGATGCTGAGTGCGGAACACACGATCGTATTCCCAATTCGTGCTCACAGAGTACGATCGATCGGTCGAAATGGACGATCATGGTGCAACCGTCGAATTACCTGGCTCTCTCGAACGAGCGCGGCGCGGCGGCCGGGAGTCGTGCGTGCGAAATCAAAAATCACGACGATGACGCGATCGATCGATTATTCCGCGCCGCGGACCGATACTCGTACCGTGGTCTGCGCGCGTACCGGGGAATGTTATTTCCCTGGAGCGATACAAAATACATAACCGCGCGCGGAGGACTACCTGGACGGACCGAACTCTAGAATTAGAGACCTGAGTCATTAAAGTCCCGAAGGATAATTGACCGGTCTCGAAAGGAGATTCGAGACTGGAGGACCTACTCAGAAAAATGTCGGTGTATCGGCCAGAACTCCCAAGTAAATTACGCTTACGAGGGAGGAATATCCGGTCCGTGTATCGAGGTTCGGTAAGCAGAACCCAGGTCTGGAAATATCTATACGAATTTTCACGCGCGAGCCATATGGCGACACTCTGTTCGTGCGCCCGCGCTCGAGGAAAACCGGCAACGTACACACGCACGCCGGAAACGCATGGGTCTAAAAGCGAGGAGGATGGTGTTTCATCGCTGCATGGGTTCGCAGCAGCAGGCATACTCGAAATCGTGTCTTAAGGATTTTTCTTTCATGTTTTTTCGATTCATCTCACTCGAGAGACCCTTCGAGGAAAAACTTTCCCTCTTCAAAAAGGATTAAGTTAATCCGATCAGTATATTTCTCGCGAAAAGAGATTGAAAGTCCACTTTCTGATTTATATGACGCATCGTGCTCGTCTCTTGTATTCAATTTTTATAATAATGAATAACAACAACATGTATATCGCGTCTGCGAATTCCCGATATTTTTAATTCTCGATTGAATTTGACTTCGAAGGCATAGTCGACATTTTAATTGTGAATATTTATAGATAAATTTAAATTTGTTAAAAATATAAGTAAAATACAATTTCTATGTAAAAAATATATATATAGTAAAAATTTATTGTTAAAGCTTTCATAAATACTCATGACACATTTACATCACGATTGCAAATTTCAGATATTTTTAATTCTCGATTGAATTTGACGTTTAAAGACGCAGCCGACATTTTGATTGTAAATTTTTCTAGATAAATTTACATTTGTAAAAAAAAAAAAGTAAAATACAATTCGATTTCTATGATAGTAAACATTCGTTGTTAAAGCTTCTATAAATATGCAAGAATTTTTTCAGCAAAATTTTTTTATGCTTAAAGAGATCGCTGACGAAAGGTGCAAAATTTCACATGGTCGTGAGAGAATTAATATTGTACGTGTGTTGTAACGTCTCCTCTTCTTTCAGCCGCAAAATGATAGGCCGATAAATACTTCTATATTTAGAAAACAACCGATTTCTTTCGGTCAAAGACACTGCCGCGAAAAGACTTCGACGATCGATACATAAGCACGGAAAAATAACACTGCTCAGGACATCTCGAGGAGGACGGGCCTCGCAAACAAACATCGGCTGGCGATATTTTACGTTCCGTCCAACGAGTTATCTTAATATAGTATATACTGTCTGTCTCGTTCCATCAAGAGGTCTTCGACGAATCAAATATCGCACCGAGTCATTAGACGGTATATTGAGCTGACCGACGGGACTTTGCCTTTACTGGTTGTGCCACTTTAAAATAACGTCTACCTACCTCTCATTTCTCTGCGCAACCAGGCGTTTCTATCATCTTTCCGATACAGATTGCAGACATCAAACGCAGACAAATAATTTCATTGATTGAGCGTTTTATTGCTTCACATAAATAACAATTATCACACGAAGAACGTATGGAAATTAATCTCGACACGAATGAACTTTCGTTCCTACATTAGAACAGCTTAATGCACATCTAATAAAGATTACGAAAGGACGCTTTCAACTAGATACCAATTAGACAAAACAAAAATGATTCTGTGCGTGCAGCTAGTGTTTCGAGAGAAATCGTTGCACTCCAACTTCCAACCGTGTAACGAACGCGATCGTCCGTCGTAAATTCATAAAAGTCGCATCGATGAATACGAATGAGAATACGCCGTGAAGCAATAAATTTCGTTAATACTAGAGATTTATGTACTTCGCCACGTGCACCGATAAAAATGTAGTTTACGGCCTACTTTGAGCGGCGCGCACGTTCCTTCGAAGTTATTAACGATATCACGAGCGTCGTTTTGCGCTATTTTCGCCGGGTCGAAACTTGGTTCCGCGGGGAAAGCTCGTTCTTGGGACATTAATCCGGCTTAAGGAAGACCCAATGCATCGAGATGCATTCATGCAGCAATATTTGGCAGCGCAAATCTGTGACGAGACTAAACAGCGCTTTCGAAAATCTTTATACCTGCGGCCGCTTTCAAAATAAACAGCTTGACCCTCGTCACACGGAATTCATTGGGACCCGGCATCCCGTCGAATGCACCAAGTCTTTTTTCCCTTTGATTATCGCGTATTATTAAAAGGTTCCTTCGGGAAAGAAAGGAAATCGCAGGTAAAAGTACGATCGAAATTCAACGTGGATTCTTATTTCGCCAAATAAAATTCTATCAAGTCCGAGCTAAACCCCCGCTGTCCACCGACCGTCCGAAGATCGATTTAATGGCCATACCTGCCAGTGCAAAACGACGTTCGCGACTATACTACGTCGTATTCGAATGCAGAACGAATTTCTGTCTAATGCGAAGCGATTTTTGTTTCGGCGTTTGAGAATGATGCAAGGTGTAACTGTCGTGACGTCAAACTTGCGACGAGTCACGTTCGTGGATATTTCGCCGAATATCGACAATGTGTTTTTACGATATGTGCTAAGACATCTTTCAATGAGACTTTGTTCGCTTTCCGCGCGCGCGCGAGCCTCTCTGACAGCCGAAGGGCCGGTTTTTCATTTTGTGGTTAGACTTAATGTGATACAAAAATTATATTTTTCTAGCTACTTAATATTTCTTTGAATAGTACTAGCATTTACTTTTAATAAATAAATATTTATGTAAATACATATGTAAAAATGAATGATAATTAAATCAAATTGATTCTTGTATTAAAGAAATATATGTTTACAATTAGTAAATATTTACTTAGAACTATTCAAAACAAATATTTTTTATAATTTAGTATTTTTTTAGCAGTGTATAGTTAATCACTAAATTGATGGGTTACTTTTAAAGTTACCACTACAAAACTATGAGTTTAGTGATTAATTATAGCTAGAAAAACATAATTTTTATACCACTGTCAAGTTAGCGAGTCTGAACCATAGTTTTGTTTCAGAAAATGAAAAACCGGGATATAATTATGGTCCAAAAAAAAAAATACCGTTAACTCTTATTGTAAAAATAAAGGATTCGGATGCCGATAGTGAAAATAAATGTATCAAAAAATGATAGAATTAATTCTCGACAAAATATGTTTCTCAAGTAGACATTAGTCGAATGAAGAAGTGAAATGCAACACAAAATCCATTCAAATCTCCGGGTAAGATTTCCCGAAAACCGATTCTTCTCGTAGCATGCTGTTTTGAATATAAGTTTGAGATTCGTCCAAAACTGATTGTATCACCATACTCTCTTTCAGATAAGTTTAAAATTCCCTGAGTAGACTGTTTTAGCATAGCAAGTTTAAAATTTTCGAAGAGCTGATTTTTCTAACATGCTCTCTAATTTTCAGAAATTTTAAAATTCTTCAAAAGTTGATTTTTTTAGCAAAGTTCACTAGTTAAATAAGTTGACACATAGCAGCAAGTTCAAGATTCCCTGAGAACTCTGACTTTCTAACATGTGCTCTCAAATTTCCAAATAAGTTTAAAATTACACGAGGACCGACTTTTTTACTAACATAGCCCCTCAAATTTTCAAGCAAGCTTCAGATTCCGTCAGAGTACATTTTTCTCGCATGCTTCTTTCAATTTCCAAGATAAGTCAAGTCCTTTGAATGCAAATTTTAAATACGTTTCTTTTCATCGGACTCTTTAATTTCTTCTCACTTTATAAGATATTTACGAGTCAAAAAATAATTGTGCAAATATCTCAAAAAGTAAATTTAGGAAAACGATAGCCGCTCGTAAAATAAGAGTACAATCCTCGCGAAAGAATGTTGGTTTGAAATCTTTGCGGGGAGATCTATCGCGATGAGAAATTTGTTGAAAAAAAAAAATATCCCTCATGGGCTTTCCTCATGCTATGGAAATCCCGATTCTAATTACTTACCCTCGTGGCATCCGAATACGGCGTGGGAGAATTCTCATTCACGAGATAGGATCCGAACTTGATGGACACCTCCGACGAACTCGTGGGGCTCTCTTGCTGCGTTGGCAGCATTTTCGGGCCGCTTCCGAAACAACTCCACGAAAAAACTCCACTTCACTTCAATTGAACAACGACGTCAAGTCGGCGACTCGCATCACAATTCCGCGCGCTTCAACGTGCGACAAGTGCGACTCGAAGATTATTTTCTCGTCGTTCACCCTCGCAATCGAACACTAGTCGCGCGGCTTCTCTCACTAAAATTCGACGCACCTTCGACGTTTGAAACAAATCTCGCGACGATCTCGCGAAAGGTTTCTCAAGCACAATCCAAAAAAAAAAAAAAAATAGGAGAATGCCCCGCGCGGGGAGAAACTCAAGATGTGCGCGTTCAAAGAATTAGCGTCTGTCGCGCTTTATCGACGTTATCGGCGGGGCGAAAAATGACGAAGGAACATAAACACGTAGTTTCCTCTCTCGTGAACGCGACTCGACTGTGGATGATGGACCGTGGCGCGGATCCAACGCGTCGCTATCTCTCGCGATCGGCACACCTCCTTCTACTGCAGCTGATCTGTGCTCGCGACGATTCCTACGATCGCAAGTAAAATATTCCGTATCCACGTGTTCACCGAGCAGCGATAAAGACCCGCGGTTTAATCGCTATCCTTCGGTCGTCTGAGTGGACTCGTTTCTTTCTCTCCTCTCTCTCTCTCTCTCTCTCGGTCCTCTCGATATATCCGGGATATTGACAACGTGCACGCGCGTTCCAAGACTTTTCAAGACGTTTTATGATCCTCTCACAGTCGCTCGTCGATCACGAACTGACATCCTCGCCCGCTCCACGAACAGAAACGTTTCGATGCTCGCTCCACGAGCGCTCATGAGCTACTGACTCTATGATCCGCTACTCGTGCTATACCTCCAACGCTCAGCTGTGAGTATCCCTACCCTCGTCGCGGCTACATCGTCCCGACCAATCCGCGTCCGGCAATCTCCCCCGCCTGTCCCTCTTCGTCCACTGCATCTCGTCCAGCGTTCGCACTCACTCTGCCGCGCTACGTCGAGCTGCGCGCACGCATATACACGTCGAGGAGTTGCGTCGCTTCTTGCCTGCGCCTATATCCTTAAACTCGATCGCTAATCAGCCACTGTCAGTGTCAAACACGGTCGCAGCTTCTCGCTCTGTCACGCCATCATTTTTTTTTCTCGTCGCTCTTCGAGATTTTTAACGACAGATCATCTTACAGGAGAGAGAGAGAGATTGGTAGCATGAGATGACGGATATAATTATTTAATATACCTCTAATTATATAATTACAATTTTTAATTATAAAGTACAATTAATTTTTTTATTTGCGCATTTCTTTTATATAGTAAGATTGCGATATAATTGTATTTAATATAATTATATCGTAATCTTATTACAAAAAGATGCAAATAAAAATTAGGTTGTACTTATTCTTAATCAAGCTGTAATTATTCAACGTAATTATATAATTATGTTAAATGAGATTGTATCGCAGTCTTTACTGTGTAAAAAATGCAAATAAAAATCAAGTCGTTAAATCGCCGAGATTTAATCTAATCGAGAACTATTCTCGAGTTGAAACGAGGATTCAAGTTCGGGTGTGTTTGTGTAAACAGCAATGAGTGCGCGCGCGCGGATGGAAAATAAAATCCGGACCCTTTCTTTAGTTTAGTTTAAAGCTCAAACGCTCGATAAGATAAGCCGGAGGAGTTCTCAGGGGAGTATAGAGGTGCACGGATGAAAGCGAGTGACCCGATAGTCGATGTCCTTGCATCTCCTCGCGATTAGTTTAATCCTGGCGCAACTCGGCGCGACCGCGAATATCGCGTTATACCGGTTTGGATACTCGGACGCCGTGCCTGCGGGGGCGTAAAAACATGCGAAATTAAGAGATTACGATCAGCGCGGCGTGCACTTTCTCATATGACGGGCTTTTGAATGCGTCCTTACGTATGCCAGATAATATATCTTGCGAGAAGGCGTGTGTATGCGCTGCGAAGGAGAAATTTGAATCGTAAACCGTTAATTTAACCTCCGCTGACTTTAAGAAGACCTCCGAATAACGTCTTCAACAACACGTTTTTATTATAATCAATTTTTTCCCGAACTCGTACATCTTCATTGTCCTGAGAATTGATCTCTGTGTAAAAATATGAATAAATATATTAAATGTATAAAATTGTTCAAAACAAACAAAAAAATCACACTTGGCGCAAGGTAGTCAAGTTTGATAATTTCACGGTTCTCAAGATCCCGAGATAAAACTGTCGCATTAATGCAAAGTAATTCACAATTTCTTCTTAACGGGAAGAGAATGATGCGTCTTCGTTTCTTTTTAAAGAGGATAATTCGACTAGCGCGGTGTCGAGATATTTATTAAATGAGCGTATCCGCTCATTGATCATTGCACGGATTTCTTATCGCTATTTACGAGCACATTGTTTACTTTACGTAGAGCGCGCAGCTGAGTGATCGTGGGACCGTAAAAATGATTTCTTCCTGCTTCGCGTCACGTTCACATATTAAAGTGCACGGATACGGCGTCGTAAAGGAAAAAATGGTTGTGTGGTAGACTTTACGCGTAAACAGGTTTAGTGCCAGTCAGCCCCGGGTACTCTTGTTTCCTTGAACATAATGTTCGACGCGCCGTGCCGTGCCTAGGGGAGTTGCATAATAGCACTCGAATCACATTTTCTATTCTCATAGAAACTCTCTGGAGCCATATTAGCTCGGCCAAGCGTTTTGCGTGGCCCCAATCGGGAACATTCTTTTTTTTTTTTTTCAGTATCTAATTATTTTACGCGGAAACAGCAATCCACGGACCATTTCATCGAGACTATTCAAATCACAATGCAATAATGATACGTTGAATTATTTGATTGCGTTACGCATATTCTATTTCTATAGAATGACAATATTAGCCTTATGTTCAGCCAGCTGAACCGTTGTAATTTCGTTCCACAAAAAGGATTGGACTCTATTCTAAAGTCAATAGATCGCTTAGAGGGAAAATGCGTCTAAATTCAATGATGGTAAAGTAAATATTTTTTCGAAAGGATATTGGATTATTTTTGCAGAATTGAAAAAAATTTCATAAGTATTTATCGGTTGTATTAATCTTCCAGAGCTGGGTTTGTAAGATCCATCTAATTTATGTTACACTCTAAAAACAGATATTCAAAAATATATTTGAGATACAATGTATCTTTACTTCTCATTGAAATAAATTCTTATTTAAATATAGCGAAATAAAATGTTGTTCCCAGCAAATAAACCGTTTTTATTTTTTACGATTAATAAGAAAAATGAGATGTATTTTGCAGAAATGCAAATTCCGTCTCTCTCGCATTAAAGTCAAATCTTTTTTATAATCAATAAATATCGAAGAAAACGTTATATAAGCATTTATTTGTCAAGATTTTAACTTTTTTTCTCAGTATATAATTAAGAAGTACTAATTAATTTTAAGGAATTAAAATGATATAACTCGTATAAAAAAGAATGAATATATAAGTGTTCGAATGACAATAATCCAGATTTGCGGGTGTAACGTATAGAAAATTGATATTTTTGACAAAGACATTTATATGATTGAGTGGTCCGATAGATCCACCATTAGGAGAATTAATTTCATTCTAATTTATCAAGTTTCGCACGAGGCATCATTCGCAGATGTTCCACGTCTTATAAATAAAATAGTGAGATACGTTATTCAATTCGGCAGTAAGATTCGTAATGTCAATTTGCGCTCAAATTTTGCGAGAATCGGCATCGTTGAAAGTCTCTTGAGACTCGATCGATTCCGGGATTTACACGGCGGTTACCTCTCTCTTTATAGACCCGGGATTTTTTCCGGTAAATGCCCCGATCTATAAATGCAGTACGACAGAAGACGTGTGTGTGTGTGTGTGTGTGTGTGTGTGTGTGTGTGTGTGTGTGTGTGTGTGTGTGTGTGTGTGTGTGTGTGTGTGTGTGTGTGTGTGTGTGTGTGTGTGTGTGTGTGTGTGTGTGTGTGTGTGTGTGTGTGTGTGTGTGTGTGTGTGTGTGTGTGTGTGTGTGTGTGTGTGTGTGTGTGTGTGTGTGTGTGTGTGTGTGTGTGTGTGTGTGTGTGTGTGTGTGTGTGTGTGTGTGTGTGTGTGTGTGTGTGTGTGTGTGTGTGTGTGTGTGTGTGTGTGTGTGTGTGTGTGTGTGTGTGTGTGTGTGTGTGTGTGTGTGTGTGTGTGTGTGTGTGTGTGTGTGTGTGTGTGTGTGTGTGTGTGTGTGTGTGTGTGTGTGTGTGTGTGAGCCACGCCAACACGAGACGGGACGGAACGACTCTCTCGTACACGCGAGCGAGACGGACCGTCCAAATTCTTTATTTTGCGTAAACACGTCAAGAGCGGCGCGCGCTGAAAGTCATACAAATATAAACCATATATATTGCCGGCCTAACGAAACTCTTTCGGCGAAAACGGCGGACGCGACGAGAGCGGCGTCTCCCTCCGGCCGTCTTTCACGCTTGCGAGCCGCGACCGCTTTCGACGAGGAAGCCTTGCGCAACGCGATCAGCCCGTGAACCGGAGTTCCCATGCTATCAAATAAAACCGCATCCTCCGACGCGACGTTTCAGAAATGACGATTCCCTCGCCTCGGCGTGTTTCTTTTTCACGGTCGGAAACACGGGATGGGATCTCTTAATTTTTAGCAGAGCGACAAGCCGTTTACGTTCGCGAATACGTCCTCCTCACCTGACTAGGGAGAAGTTTCTCTTTTCCTTTTATTTTACATCACTGTCAAGGTTAACTCTTGAATATAGGTCAGCTCATCAACGAAATAGACCATTTCTGCGAAATGTTTTTATTTTCAAAGGCCATCAGACTTTAAAGAACGCTTCTTTCCAGAAAAAGTTCTTTTAGTTATGCCCAATTTCTTCACCTCTAGATAACTTTATCCAGGAAATATCTCCCAGAATACAATGGAGATTCGCAATTTATCTGAAAGTGAAGAAATTGGGCACTGGTCTATTTTTTTTTTAGCTTAAAAGCAAGATTCTTAGTTAACGTGA